TTGCATTGACCCCGTCTCTTGAGCCCCGATACCTGTTCTCATTTGTCGGGGGCGCGCAGACATGGATTAGCGATCCATGGATTTGGCGCGCGGCCGCCAAATCCATGGATCGGGGGAGGTGGCCTCCCCCAAAACTGCGGCTGGTGCCGCCTCGCTCGGCGGCGGCCTTCCGCGATCTCCCGTGGCCACGGGCTCGTCGCTCATCCACGCCCCCCCCCTGATCCGTGTTCGCGATCGCCTGCCTCTGCAACCCCCCGGCCCCCGAGCTCCCACTCTGAAGGGGCCCTGGGACACCCGATTCGATAGACACAAATAACAGGACCCCCCGTCTTGTCCCACATGTTCGGGGTCTCTGTCTGCCCCCCCCCCCCTTCCCATATGTGTCCCTCTTTTCCTGGGAATCGACGACGCATTGTGTCTGTGTGCTTCTCTCCCTCCTGAGCAATGCCGAGCGGCGAGCCCTGGACGCGGCGGCCCACCAGGTCCTGGCCACGGGCCGCACCGAGCACGAGCCGCGGGCCGAGGTCGGCAGCAGTCAAGAGGGTGGCCCCCCTGGTGGCAGGGGCGGCGTCGTCATTCCTGACGGGGCCCCAGGACACACAAACAAGCACACACAAATAAAAATAGATTCCCGACATTTCCCCATCTTTTCTGGGCTTCTGTCTTCCCCCTCCTGGCACTCGGCCCCGCCCCCGGGGCGGCCTCCCGCGCGGCCGCCGCCGCGCCCTCGCGGCGGCCGCGCCGCGCCGCGCGGCCGCCCGCCGCGGGGCGGCGCGCCCCCGCGCCGGGGCGCCCGCGAGGCGGCCGCGCCCTGGGCGGGGGCGGCCCCCCCCCCCGCGGCGAGGAGGGGGCGACGGCGGGTCGACGCCTGCCGCCCTGGGCCCATGCCCTCCCGACGTGGCCCCACCTCCTCCTCCTCCTCCTCCCTCCTCCCTCCTCCCTCCTCCTCCTCCTCCTCCTCCTCCTCCTCCTCCTCCTCCTCCTCCTCCTCCTCCTCCTCCTCCTCCTCCCTCCTCCTCCTCCTCCTCCTCCTCCTCCTCTGTGTGCCCCTTCCATCTGTCCATCCCCACCTTCGGGGATGGACAGACCTCCCTTCAGTAGAGCGTGGTTTCCATAGTGGAAACGGCCTCGGGCCCAAACCTGGCGGGCGCAGGCCTGGAAAGTAACGGCCGCGGCGCCCTTTCGAGAACCGAAAACGGCCAATTCACTAATCGACGTGTCAGGGCAGGAGGGCTGTCCACCCCCGACACATACAGGGCAGTTTCTAATACACAGGATTTTTAAAAATATAGGATGTTTTAATACATGATTCATTGATGAACAAAAATTCTGCATGAACTCATCGTTGTTTTTACGCGGAGCATGCATTGAAAACGGCACTGTACCCCCCCGCCCCCGCATCGCACTTCTCGCCCCCTGAGCGTCTCCCGTATCCCGCTTGCCGTGGCCCCTGACCATCACCCTCCCGCCCGATACGGTCGGCCCCCGATCACCCTCCCTGGCTCCGGGGCCGCAAATCAGGCCTCCAGCGGCCGATCGGGACGACTCCGGCACTTCGAACCCCATCGACGAGGCGCAGCGGATGGCAACCACCCCGGGCATCGGGGACTTTCGAAGACTCCAGAAACATTCGACAACCTCCCTTCGTCATTGAGCATCGTTGAACCGATCCCTCTCCCCACTGGCGTGGCCTGGGCCCCACTGGCCAATTTACCCCCTAGGTCGGGACGTAGGCTGTTTCCTTCGGGTTTCGGATGGTATATCCCCAAATGGGGTACTGAGATGGTGGGGGTCTGGATGGGGATGGGGATGGGGATGGGGATCGGTCAAACGATCCGGATGGTCGGCTGACTGCACGATGGAACCCAAGGCCTCTCCAGACATCAAGCGCCTGGGGCAAAATCGGGACAGCGGTTTTTCATCGCTTTCGGCCTCTCGGGGCCCTTACCCGTTCTCGGGGCCGTCAGAAAACGGCTCGGGAGGAGAGACCGGTCCTGGGCAAAAAGGTCGAGAAGTCGGGGGCCCGTGCCTCGGAAAAATCGGGATGCCGGATGTCTGGAACTGCACCATGAAGCCAAAGAGCTCTTGAGCTGTGATTGCGAAACTGTTGACCTACCTGGCTCTAGAACATTTCGGGCGACATAGAGATTCGAGCCTCGGAAGCTAGGGATGGCGCAGAAAACATGCGTGCCTGCACGCCTGTGGCAACTCATGCGACAGTGTGTGTTCGCAACCATGCGCTGCGTGGCAGTGGCAGCGAGGCTCCGGAGCACGGGGGCCCGTCGGGTCGAACATGGGCACGGCACGGGGCGGCAGCGCAGGACAGCCGGGGAGGTGGTGCAGCGCAGAGCCGGCAGGGGCGCCAAGGGTGCGCGCTCGGCGGGAGGAGGGACGAGCACGGGAGCAAGGAGGACCCGACACGATTCGACCCGAACCCAACTCCACCCCACCCGACCCGACCCGAACCTGACCCGAACCCAACCCAGTCAGAACCATTCCAATCCACCCGACCCGACCCGAACCCGACGCCCCAGGAGAGCCCCACGAGGGGCCCCACGAGGCTCACAGGACGGCCCCAAGACCGCCCAAGGGGGTCCCCAGAAGGCCAGGGGTATCGAGGACGCCCCCTCCCGAGGGCAAGAGACTCAGACAAGGGAGGGGGGCGGTGGGCGCCCCCCAGCCCGCGCGCCACCCTCCCCAGTCATCCGGCGTCTCGATTTTTTCGAGACACGGCCCCCCGACCTCTCGACCACTTGCCTGGAGCCGGTTTCTCATCCCGAGTCGTTTTCTGACGGCCCCGAGGCCCGGTCAAGGCCCCGAGAGGCCGAAAACGATGGAAAACCTTTGTCCCGATTTTGCTCGAGACGCTGAAGCCTGGGGAGCGAGCGTCAGTTGTCCCAAGGTGGGGTCCAGAGAGCTTTGGGGCTCTGAGGACGAGGCGCCTCTCACGGTGCACAGACCCACCCCTGGCAGGGCCCCTTCCTTATAGAGGCCTCCTGGATGGTGTCGAAGTAGATGGGGTCGGAGAATCGCGCCGAATCGGCGATTTGTCGGCGATACATCGGCGATGCACTGGCGATGCACCAGCGATGCAGCAGCGACGCTGGCGATGCATCGGCGACGTCCGCGTGAAGACAATCGGGTTCCGCGGCGAACCGCATCGGCGATGCACCAGCGATGCGGCACGATCCTCCGACCCCATCTTCTCGGACCCCATCCGGGAGGCCTGGATGGGTGCACATCCCTACCGCCCAGACGCCGAAGGCATGCCCAGACATCCAGCGTCCCGAGCAGATCGGGACAACGGCTTTTCTGCATCGCTCTCGGCCTTCCAGGGCCTCGGGGCCGAAGAGAAGCCGGCCCCGGGGAGGTGGTCTCGAAAAAATCAAGACGCCAGACGTCTGGGATTGCACGACGGAGCGACGAGCTCTCTCAGGCTGCGGTTACGCGATGGCTTCTTAACTGCCCGGCTCTGGAGCGTGTCGGACGCCCGGCGTCTTGAAGAGATCGAGGCCACGGCCTCCGGCCTCTCGGGGGCCGTCAGGAGAAGACTCGAGGGGCCCCAGGACACACAAATCAATACACACACAAATAACAATCTGTCCCATACTTCTTCATATTGTCTGGGTTTTTTCTTCCCCCCCCTTCCCATACTTTCCCGGGAATCGACGATTGATTGTGTCTGTGTGCTTTTTCCCCTCCTGAAAGACTCGGGCTGAGAGGTGCTGGTCCCTGGGCAGGTGGTCGAGAGCTCGGGGGCCCGCGCCTCGGAGAAGTCGAGGCGCTGGCTGCCTGGGACGGCCGCGCTCGATGCAGAGGACGCGCCGCTCACTGCGGCGGGTTCGCGTCGTGACGGCTGCAGCGCTGGCTCCTGGGCACCGCTGCGACTGTTCGACCCTGAACGATCGGCCGCTTCCCGAAACTTCCGATCGTTCAGCATCGACCGATTCTGGGTCGCCGCTGGTCGGGGATCTTCCGACCCGGGTCAATCCACGACCCGGGTCAGCAGGAAACCAAAAAACTGCAATGCAAGAAAAAACAAAAACTGCAACGCGGGTCATCGCAAACCCGGGTCGGCCAATAGGCGTGGCCGCCTCGCGGCCACGAGCGGCTCGCTAACCCGGGTCATCCAGAAGGGGTCTTCGCAGGATCCTGCAGACTCCGGTGCCCTGGCTGACCCCCGTTTGCATGGACCCCCGTCTCAAGGCTCCCGACACGCGCGGGGGCCGCGAATGCCGGCCTGCGAAATGTGCGAAACCTGGCATCACCGCGAACAAAAACATTGTTTTTGTTGCGGCGACTCCACATTCCCCATCATTCCGAAGTATGGGGAACCCACATCGCCAAACGACTGCCCGCCAAAACAAATGGCACGTGTGCGGTGTCTCTTGCATGGAACCCCGTCTCGAGACTCCCGAGCTGGCGTGCAACGCTGCACGCCGGCGACGAGGTCGCCGCCAAGCGACACGGCGCGAACCTGCCGTGTACATCTTCGCACGCAAGCAGGAGGGAGCTCGGAGGCCCTCCCGCGAACGGCCACGAGAGTTGGGCCCGGCGCCGCCCGTTCCCAGGGACGGGGAGCTGGCGCACGTGGAGCAGGAGTGAGGGGGAACGAGCAGGGTCAGGAGCAAGAGTGGAGCAGGAGGAGGGGAGCGAGAGAAAGATCAGGATCAGGATCGGGAGAGTCAGCATCAGGATCAGGATCAGGATCGGGAGCAGGAGTGGAGCAGGAGAAGAGAGAGAAGGCGAGAGAGCGAGAGAGAGAGGGAGGGAGGAGATAGGAAACGGAGAGGGTGGGGGGGATGAGGTAGGGCACAAAAGGGCGGAGGATGGCGGAGGTAGAAGAGGGCATAGGAGGAGGATAATGGATCACTGACAGAGAGAGAGAGGGGGTGGAAAAAAGGGTTGCCCACACACTCCGACCGTAGACCATAAGCAGAGCCTTATAGGCTCGCTTTGGAAGCGGACCCCAGATAAGAGCAGCCAAATCTGCGGCGGTGCCTTCTTCTCGGAAGCGCCGCCAGCGCCAGCCCCAAGCCTGGCGACTGTCGTGGCACCGCGCAGCTGCTGCAGGAAGGCCTGGCTGCCGCCGCTGGTGCCCAACGCGGATGCGCCGCCGTTGGCATCGCAACCACATCGGGAGCCGTCGCCGCATGCAAACAGCCATGAATCCGCCCCGAAAATCTGACTGCGAACTAATGCTGGATACACTGCCTGACAAGGTATCCAACCGATACCTTTAAAAATCCACACCGGGGACGCAATGACACTAACACGCCGCTGCAGCAATCGTCGATTCCACAACTCCATGCGAACCATCAGCCAACGTAGGCTAGGCACTCGCTGCGCTACCCTGGCAACGACACATCGCTCTGCGCAGCTTGCTTGTCCTGGACATTGCAGACCCCGTGTCTGCGCAGACCATCGACAGCTCTGAGTATCTTGGTCAAGCACTGCCTAAATATACTTGCAAGCCTGTGTCCCAACTGGTGTTCTCACCCTGTCTTCATTGCCCGTTTCACAATTATGTGAATCCACTTTTTGACGTGCGCTATGATTGTTCTCCCCCACCCTCTCTCTCTCTAAGTACATACGGAAATTGTAAATACATGCACACGCATGTGTTTCGCAATGTCGCTGTTGAATGTTCGGCATCTCCTCTTCCATATGTTCATCATCCTGTGTACCGCGTCAAATTGCTCGCGGATCGCTATCCAATACCCAAGCCATATTCGCGCTCTCGGACCCCTATCGGAATCCATCTTCGAAACTTCGGAGGGGAGCCGTTGGCGTGCCCAGCGAACGAAAGGGCACGATGAGGATGGCGGGGGGTACTTCTGCAGACTATGCAAACCCAGCGAGACAGCCCTGGTCATACGTATCTAAATCTCTCTCTCTCTCTCTCTCTCTCTCTCTCTATATATATATATATAAAAAAAAATCCGCCTCAGTGCCGCAGGGCACGGGGTGGGCGTGTCCTCAGGTCGTTCCACTACCTCTCTGAGCCCCAGTCGTCACTGAGGACTTCTGAAAGGGTTCGGAGCCCCTCGGCTCCCCCGCGCCTTGTCGCACGACTGCCTCGGACCCAGGAGGGCCCCAGGATGGGCCAAGGCGGCCCCAGGAAGCCCCAGAGACGGTCCAAGAGGGCCCCGAATCGCCGAACGATCGGTCCACGACGCTCAAGATGGCCCCCAGACGGCCCAAGAGGCCTCCAAGACGCCTACAGAGGCCTCCGAGAGGCCTCCAAAGAGGGCCCAAGAGGCCAAAATGATTGATTTCCCTTAGGATGTTGTATGATTTTGACGTTCTCTCCTTTTGCGCTTCCCAAGGCGCCCAGACGAGAGGGCCCCACAATGATTTGAGAGGGCCCCAAGATTTTTACGAGGCGCTTAAAACTGCCTAAGATGGCCCCGCCCCAAGGCAGTACCCGAATGGGGACCGAAACACGAAGCGAAAATCCGAGCCTGCCGCCCCAAGAGGCCCCCAGGAGGCCCAAAGAGGCGCCCAGGAGGCCCAAAGAGGCCCCCAAGAGGCCGACAGGAGGCCCCAAGAGGCCCCCATGAGGTCCAAACGAGGCCCCAAGAGGCACCCAAACGGCCCCCAAGAGGCGTCCAAACTGCCTCCAAAAGCCTCCCACTATGCCATTAGAGAGAGAGAGAAAGAGAGAGAGAGAGAGAGAAAGAGAGAGAGAGAGAAAGAGAGAGAGAAAGAGAAGCAACAAAGAAAAAGAGAGAGACAGAGACGTGTATATATACACATATACATATACATATACATATACATATACATATACATATATACATATATACATATATATACATATACATATACATATACACATACATATACACATACACATACACATACACATACACATACACATACACATACACATACACATACACATACATATACATATACATATACAAGTACATATCTATATATTATCTGTGAGGGGGCCGGACGGTCATTCACTATCTCTGGGCGCGTGGCTTAATTGGAATTCTGCGGTGCGGATTGTTGTTTGTTGTTGTTTGCTGTCGTCTTCCCCCCCGCGACCCGGCCCGCGACCCACCCGCGACCCACCCGCGACCCACCCGCGACTCACCCGCAACCCACCCGCAATACGCCCCGCGAACCGCCCGCACCCACCCGCGAACCACCCCGGGACCCGCCCGCGACCCACCCACGACCCACCCGCGACCCATCCGCGACCCACCCGCGACCCACCCGAGACCCACCCCGCGAACCGCCCGCGACCCACCCGCGACCCACCCGCGACCCACCCGCGATCCACCTGCGACCCACCTCGCGACCCACCAAGATTGCTTTAACCAAAAATAGGCGCTTGCGCCAGGCTCGTTGCGCAATTCGTAAGAACTTGGAGACTGCGGTGGGCTTCTTCAGCGCCTCGCAGACTGCCGACGCCCCCGCACCCCCGTCACTATTCTCCGCAACTGCGGGGTGCTGAAAAAGTAAGTATATGCCTCTTCCTATATTTTTACAAGCCCGTGCGGGGGGAAAACCCCTCCCCCCCCAAAACCCGGACTCCCGGGATCTGGGGCTTTGGGACCCTCCGGACGGGCCTCGAAGCGGCCCCCTGGGCCTCGCAGGGCGTTTTGCCAAGCCTTCCCAGCACACCTAGGGCGATCAGGGGGGTCATCGGAGACGTCCCAGAGACCCCCGAGACAGCACAAGAGCGCTCCAAGAGTGACCGACGTGACCTCAAGATGGCCCAAGAGGCCTCCATGACGGCCCCAGAGAGGCCTCCAAGAGCACTCCCAAGAAGGCCCCCAGAGGCAAAAATCATTGATTCTCGGATGGTTTTTGGTGAATTTTGGGGTTCTCCTCTTTTCGGCTTCCCGACGCTCCAAGACGGCGGTTTTCTGGGCGTCCGAAGCCGCCTGGGAGGCGCCAAAATCGCCCCGCAACCATCCGAAAGGGCTTCCAGGTAGTCCAAGAGAGCCCCAAAACGGCACAACACGGGTCCAAGATGGCCCTCAGAGAGCCCCATGGCGGCCCAAAATGGCCCCAAGACACCCTCCGAACCATTCCAAATCGTGACCCGGTCGTTCAGGGAGACCGCGGTTGGAGGCAGGGTGGCCCGAGGAAGCCAACAGAGGCCCCCAGAATATCCCCAGGAGGTCTCCAGAAGGCCTTAAGAAAGCCTGAAGCAACTTTTGTGAAGCCCCCAGAGGCTCTCCAAGGAGGAGCCTCCGCAACAAAGAGCCGAGGAGGATTGGGAGAATGCGCAAGGTATTGCGAAAATGAGGAAAAAGAACTTGGAGGAAAGATAACGAATAACATTATCATAGCGGCGATGCCGGGGGGGGGGGGGCGAGTTTCCGGCGGATGCGGGGCGCTGCTTTTACAGAAGGCTCTAATCTCGAGGATGCGCTGGAAGGGTGGCCGCGGCCGCAAAAGTCTCTGAGGACGGTCTACGAAAGTCCCGAGGCCCCGAAGGATCGCCCGAACACGCCCAAGATGGCCCCAAGACGGCCCAAGAGCCTTCCACGACGTCTGAAGAGGCCTCCAAGAGGCCTCCCACGATGGCCCCCAGAGGCAAAAATCGTTGATTCCCATTAGTTTTTTCAATGTTTTTAGGGTTGTCGCTTTTTTCGGCTTTCCGACGCTCCAAGACGGCCCAAGAGGCCCCCAAGACCGCTCGAAGACGGCCCAGGAGGCCCCCAGACAGTCCCAAGACGGCCCAAGAGGGCCCCAAGGCGGCCCAAGAGCCGCCCAAGACGGCCCAACAGGCCCCCAAGACGGCCCCAAGAGGACCCAAAAGAGGGACGAAAAGCGGGAAAAAATCTAGCCTTCCAGCCCACGAGGCCCCCAGGAGGCCCCAAGAGCCTCCAAGAGGGCCTCCGAAAGCCCCCAAGAAGCCCCCACGACGCCCTGACAGGCTCCTACGATGGCTCAAAAAACGCCCCAAGTGGGCGTCCTTGCGCCGATAGGCTCGCCTCCACCGCTCGCACCACATCGTCCAGGCCACATGTTTCGTAACACGACTCCGTGCACGACGTATCGTGAGTTTCCAAAGTGATCGGCATCCTGTATGGAATTTTCATGTCATTATTATTTCCCGTCCCCACGGTCACTGCAAGCACCCCGCCGTTGATAGAACCACTGTTGCGAGATGGCTCTATTGACCCAACTGCATTCCTACGCCCTTTCGAAGGTAACCCGAGAAGTTTGTGCGTTTGAATGTGCGCCCATAATGTCTGCGTCTGGAGAATAACACCGAGCGACCCGGATCGGCGGCACTGGCCGAAGGCCACTACAATAACATTATCATAGCGGCGATGCCAGAACAAAAACAACAAGAACTTATCGCTAAATTGTCGGCTTGACCTTCCTGCTATTCAGCCTGCATACCAAACTTCAAGGACCGAGGTGCATGGCGCGAAGCGCCACTGCAGTCTTGTGTATATATATATATATATATATCACTCGTCCGGTAAGCGTCAATGGGGAACGGTGGAACCGTCTGGGCACCGATTGGAAGCTTCTTGGATCTTGTTCCGCGGTTGTGATGGGATCTTGTGGGAAGCCTTTCGGGGCTTTCCTTGGGGCCTGCCGGAGCTGTCTTGGTGGTCTTGTGGCCGCCATCCAAAAGTGGCTTTGCTGGGTGGTCTCGAAGGCTGCTTGGCCAGGCTTGAGGCCAAGAAGAGCTCTGGGAAGGATAAGGTTGCGGAACACTACAAATGCCCTGCCATGAAGCTAGCATGCGTCAAAAGCTGGATGCACGCTGGGGGAGACTAGGAGGAACTCGTTGGCCGAGCTTCGGATGAGGACCCTTAGAGGCGCTCAAGAAGCCCCTGGAGGCCTCCAATATACCTCCAAAGAGGCCCCTGTGAGGTCAAACGCGTTCAAAAAACATCAAGTGCTCCCACCTGTCCTGTCAGTCGCAAATTTTCGTCACAATGGACGGCGAAAGTCCAACATATGCCCAAAATGCGACCAACGCCACCGAGGTGATCCCACAAGACGGGTCCCATGACGGCCCAGGATCTCCCCCCCGAGACGGCCTCGAAATGGCACAAGATAAGCACCCGAGGCGACCCCAAAACAACCGC